GAGGGGGAGGGGGACACATTATATTGATCATCGTCAACAGGGAAAGAATTTGCTATTAGCTCTGTTTATTTCTTCAATTTTAAGCCCTCGGGCAAACCGATTTTTCTTCCGCCATTGCCTCGCGGCTCGCTCACTTAGAACATGATTGATTGTCGGAGCCAGGTTACGAGCTCGCAGAAAGGTTACAAGCGCAAGTTATACGTCAGCGGACTTTCAGTTAGGCACCAGTCTCCCATAAGAGACGGACCCGTAGATGCAAGAAGCTAATTCGTCAAATCGTCAACTCAGTTGACCGTTGATCGCTGTTTCTTATCATTTAGCTACTTTCTTTTGTGCTTGCTGAAGTGGCTCTGTTTATCATAAACATTACGTACTTTTGGATCCGCTGCTCTCATTTTGCAACAAGAGAGCCGAAGGAAATAACTCAATGACTAATACGATCCAAATGCAACCAGAGATTGCGCCATGAACATCTGTTGTTTTTACAGAATTAAGCCCTAAAAAGTTGCAGCCGCCTCTAATGTTATGTAAACATGAAATTGCAGCTTTTGCTTGTTGTTGTTTTTTTTTTTAGTCTGAATTTACTCCCGATAACAAGTTGAAAAAAGAATCAGTTTTGACACAAAACCAAATATGAACCTTGTTTAGCAAAAGGCGCAGGCTAGTTACAGTTTTATATCGGCTTAAGCTAAATAGATAATGTTTCAGCATTTCTCTTTTCTATCTATTGCAGTTGCGTGACAAAGAAAAAATAACTCAATCAAGAGAGACTTCACCTTTTCTGCCTGTTCTATGCTCCGACTGTTTCCAAATTTTTGGAAAAATAAGCAATTTAACTTTTAAGTTCAGTTTAAATTTCCTTAAAGCAAAGTGGTAAGTCGCACCTTTACTTTATAGTTAGTTGATGATGCAATGCGCTATAATTGCTCGAATTATTTAGGGGAAGTCCCGGATTGGATTTAGTTTCGCTTTGATTTTCTAAAGCTCAGGACTAGCAAAGGCGATGTGGTGAGTGATTCTCTTTTAAACGTTTATAAAACGTTTAAAAGAAAACCAAGCGGAAGCAGTAATATTTCTCGCTATGAGTGCTCAATCTCCCAATCTTCTTAAAATCTGAGATCTGAAAGTGTCTCAATTCTAAAGGTATCCGTTCAGTACGCTAAAAGGAGCGTTTTCTACCATCATTTCCAAGTCCGTTTCTATCTGCATGTGCCTTTACACGTACAAACAGGACACGGCTGCTTAAGAGGCATGGGTCTAAGATCAATTTTCTCTCTTCCGAGAGTGGTGATAAATTATGTGTATAGGCTGCACATTTGCTTGATATCGGCGACGGGGAAAGTTGTGGTGACAGTCTTCTACTCAATCGGCCTTTCCTGTACCGTCATCTCTAATTACGAGCAGCTGCATTTTTAATGAGTACCTGTTGACAACAGAATATGTAGGTTCTTGTATTCAGCCAGAAGGGGGGCAAGCACATTACATTGCTTATCGCCGACGGGGACAGTTGTTGGTACAGTATTTGGTACAGTTATCTACTCAGTCAACCTTTCTCGTTCAGTCATGTCCGAATTACGAACAATTACATTTTAACGAATACCTGTTAGTGAATTATCTACTTTAGCATGAAAAACACGTGGGATTTCACGATACGATCCTTGTGTTATAATTTTTAAAGTTAAAAATTATTTCTTGCCTAGTTTACCTCGAGTGCATATTTCAAGGTAGTTGATGTTTGTTGTTTATGAATAAAATGATTTTCACCCGTTCAAAACATGAAATCGATCCTTTTTCCTTGGAATTTTTTATTAGCTCTGTTTATTTCTTTAGTTTTAAGCTCTCAGACAAACCGACTTTTTTCCGCCATCGCTTCACAGCTCGCTCACTTAGAAGACTAATTCGCTGAACTTATTTAATTGTCGGAGCCAGGTTATTGTGACCTTTGAGAAGTCACCTGTAGTGACTAGAAGCACAAAACCAAAAAAAAAGGCTTGTTGAGCGAAAGGTTTAAGTTAAAAAGGCAAAGTTTTGGCAGTCGCGTGACAAGGAAAAATTAATACAATCAAGAGATAATTTATCTTTTCTGTCTGTTCTGTGCTCCGACTGTTGACCAACTCTCTTAAAAAAATAAGCAATTTAACTCTCTATTTCAGCCTAAATTTCCTCAAAACAAAGTTGAAAGGTGCACCTTCTCGTTATGTTTAGTCAATGATCTAACGTATTGCTCGAATTATTTTGAGGGAGGTCCCGGATTGGCTTCAGTTTTGCTTTGATTTTCTAAACCATTGTACTTCTTCTTAATTACAAGACCTAATTCTCTATTCCCTATCAATAACTGATGAAAAGTACACTCTTTAGGTTTTAACGTCTTCTTCAAAACCGAAAAATATCTGAATGGAATGAAAAATATATATATATATATATAAAACTCATTGTGATTATTAGTGTTATTCTTGTTTAAAACCTAAATTGTGGCGAATAGATTAAAACAGGAACGAGTAGCAGCGTCATTTTTTATTTACATATAATATTTTGTTTGCCTCCAAGGGACTAGCCTCGTTTGCGTGCTAGATCTAAACTGATAAAAAATGATATACAGTGAACCGTTTTAATTCCCAAAGGTTTTGCTAGGACGATAGCAAGAGCAAAAGAAAGTTAATTTAATAGAGAAGGGATACATATTTCGTTTTTGCGAGGTTGTTCTTCAAAACAACGGTGAACGATCGTTTGTTTCTAATAGTCGCACTTTGTTACTGGTCACGTTTAAAATCACGTGACTAATCACGTGACATATTTTACCACTTACAAATAAAGCAGATGTATATTGAACGAAATTTAGATTATGCGTTTGAAATCGTTGATTTTTAAGAAGAAATAGGTCAACTAGCGATGTAAACTGCGTTCGAGTGTGTAGCCTCATTTCCATGCTGATCCGTGAGCTGGGCAAGAAAACATTCCCTTAACTCGAAACGTGCTCCACAATTTAACTTTGGTCATGAGGTCTTTCTCTACAAGAATCGGGTGTCAAATATTTTCTGTGGCGATGGTTGAACGAAACTCCCATTTTTCGGTTCCTGCTCCCTGACTATAAAGCTCAGGACGAGCAAAAGCGACGTGGTAAGTGGTTCTCTTTTAAACGCTTCTTGGTTCTAAATGTTTAAATTTTCTGAATATCAAGGTTTTTAATTTGAACCCGTAATAAGTGGTAAAGTTCTCAGATCACTTATGTGTTGCTCAAGCCGCACTTCATCAAAACTGCAATCTTGACAACCAAAGCGGAAGGAATGATATCTCCGATTGATACTGTTCAATTTTTCTCTCACCATAGCTATATGAACAAGTCAGAATAATTTACGGGAAAATCAATGCGGAAAACTAGTTTTGTTTCATTTTCTAGACGTGGCTCAGCGGCGCTATGATCAGGGATCAAGAACGAAAATGAAGCGGAATGAAGTTTCGTGACATTAGCATGTACAAAGGCAAAGCAAGCACTTATTTTTTCCAGGCCAACAAACAGTTTACATCGATGAAGCTTCGACGAGTAATTCAGTCGGGTTGAAAACCTCAAAGTACCGTAATATTCTCTCAAAAAGAACTTTCAGCGTATTTGAACGGTAGAAGCGTGTCTCGAAGTTAAGATTGGACTGACGTCGAGCTAATTTCGTCGTGGAAAGACATTTTACATTTTACATTTTACAAAATGTAAAATTGTCAAATTAATAGCGAAATTGTGAATTTAGTGAGTACTATCGTTACATTTATTGACCTCTTGATTTCTTTTTTCTTTTTGTCGTGACATAGATCTTCCTGAACATATTGACCGAGCTAAATTGGAGTTATTCTTACTGCACAGAAATTATGAATTTAGTGCTACCTTTTCATTTATTCACCTCTTCATTTCTTTGTTCTTTTTTCCGTGACGTAGCACTTCCCGAAAAGCTGATTTGGGTTTATTCTTACTGCATAGCAATTAGATTTGGGCAAGTGCCGAGTGATATTCTTGTTATTTATTCAAATTGACATATTTTGGTCATTCCGTATCCCCTTTTTTTATTGGAGTTTCGTCTCTATCATGGTCTATTAGTTATGCAGCGTTTGGGATTAACATGCAAGATTTCAGAGATTGTCTATAGTTTTCAGTTTCTAAAGATGTTAAGATAAATTTTTCCGTCCTCACCTAGATTCCCAGGCACCATGGATAATACAAATGAGATGACTGCAATGATATCAAAAGAGTTGGAACCAAACTTTCAACGAAAGAACACTTGGTCCAAGTTCATCTCCGGCTGGATGATTTTCATGATTATGTATTTACTGCTTTTACTGGCTGAAGTAGTTGTTATTTTCAATTTCATTTATTATCTTTGAAAAACCATATCGCCTGTTTTCACTTCGGAGAGGTTAACAGCCACAAATATATCATCAAGAGTAGAGTAGACATCTTTATTTATACAGGATAGCCCCTTCAGTGTAGTAAACACTGGTATCAACGGGGTCCTGTTACCCACCCATCCCACCACGAAACATACCTATCACATATTTTCAATACATCTTGTGCGTTACTTAGGCATGACAGAAACTTACTCCAGATTGATAATGGCCCTAAATTGTTTTGACACAGTGAGCTGTTGAATCTTTCTTCGAGTAGTTTTCAAATCTCCGCATTTTACCGGCTTGTGCCTCCTGATAAAAAATCTTATTCGTTTCCCGCCAAGATTTTGGACTTTAATATTTGTATTTTCGGTTTTTGTCTCAAGGGATGTTATTGAGAGCGCAAGTTCCTCACTCGTCACATCTGTTTACAAATTTAGAGCTATGATGGCGGTTTGCTTTACGTTCTCCCTGGATGCGTTCTTTGTGATAATGATTCTTGGAGCTCTGAACGTAACAAAAGTCCGCCATATGGCACCGAAGAAAGGGCAGTTAATATTTAAGGGGGCCCTGATCGTCTTTTGCTTTCGATTGCTTGTATATTTGATTCATACAATACCATACTTAACTGTAATCTTATATTTGATTGCTCCCATCTTCGAACGAGAGAGCGGAGAGAAATAACCCAGTGACTAATACGGTCCAAATACAACCAGAGATTGCGCTATGAGCATCTTTTGTTTTTACAAGATTAACCCCTAAAACTTGCAGCCGCCTGTAAGTTTATGTAAACATTTATTTGCAGCTTTTGTTTTGTTTTTGGTTTTGCTTTTTTAGTCTGCAGTTCTTTGCGGTAACAAGTCAAAAAGATAATCAGTTTTGATACAAAACCAAAAGTGAAGCATGTTCAGCGAAAGACACAGGCTAGTTACAGCTTTCTATCGGCTTAAGCTAAAGAGCCAATGGTTTGGCATTTCTCATTTTATCTGTTGCAGTTGCGTGACAAAAAAAAAAAAAATGCAATCGAGAGAGACTTCACTTTTTCTGCCTGTTCTATGCTTCGGTTGTTGTCCAACTTTCTAGAAAAAAAAAATCTGACGTTCAAGTTCAGCTTAAATTTCCTTAAAGCAAAGTGGCATGGTGCACCTTCACTTTATATTCAATTGATGATCTAATGTACTATATTTACTCAAATTATTTTGGAGGAAGTCCCGGATTGGCTCCAGTTTCGCTTTGATTCTCTAAAGCTCGGGAATAGCAAAGGCGACGTGGTAAGTGGTTCTCTTTTAAACGCTTCTTGGTTCTAAATGTTTAAATTTTCTGCATATCAAGATTTTTATTTAAACCCGTAATAAGTGGTAAAGTTCTCAGATTACTTATGCGTTAATCAAGCCGCAGTTCTAAATGGTAAAGTGCAGCGATAGATAGTACTCAGATTACGAATGCCTTAATCGAGCCGCAGTTCAACCAAACTGCAATCTACACAACCAAAGCGGAAGGAATAATATCTCCGATTGGTATTGCTCTATTTCGCCCTTACCATAGTCTCATGAATGAGAGTAATTTACGGGAAAATCAACACTAGACAGCTGCTGTAGCTTTGTTTCACTTTCTTGACGTGATTCAGCGGCACTATGAAATCAAGAAAGGAAACGAAACAGAGTGAAGTTTTGTGAGGAAACGGTGTAAGCATGTCTCGAAGCTAAGATAGGAGTGATGTCGAGCTGATATCGTCGTAGAAAGAGATAGACTAAATGTAAAATTGTCAAATTACTAGCCAAATTTTGAATTTATTACTATCTTTGCATTTATTCACCTCTTGATTTCTTTTTACTTTTTGTCGTGACATAGTACTTCCCGAACATATTGACCAAGCAGATTTAAGTTTTTTTTTGCAGAGCAATTAGATTTGTGTAAGTGCCAAGTGATATATATTTCAGTGAAGTATTCGTATTGACAAATTTTGGTCCTGGCGGATCTCTTTCGGGGAGATTTGTCTCTATAATGATCTACTTGATATGCAGTGTTTACCACATTTCTGTCAGAATTATCTGTAGTTTCAATCTGTAAAGATGAATTTATCCGTTCTTACCTAGATTCCCAAGCACCATGGATCAGGAGACAAATGAAATGACTTTAATGATATCAAACCGTCAACGAAAGTGCGCTTTTTGCAAGTCCACCTTCAGCCGGATGATTTCCATCATTATGTATTTATTGCTGTTACTGTCTGAAGTAGTGGTTATTTTCGCTTTCATTTATCATTTTGGAAAAACAATATCGCCCGTTTTCACCTCGAAGAGGTTAACAGCCACGAACATAACATCTAGCACCAAAAATACCTCTCACATATTTCCAATACATCTTGTGCGCTACTTAGGTATGACAGAAACTTACTCCACATTGATAATGGCCCTGAATTGTTTGGACACAGTGAGCTGTTGGATCTTTCTCGGAGCAGTTTTCAAATCTCCGCATTTCACCGGCTTGTGCCCTCTGATAAAAAATCTTATTCGTTTGCCGAGATTTTGGACCTTAATGTTTGTATTCGTGCTCGTTGTCATGGGAAATGTTATTGACAGCGCAAGTTCCTCACTCGTCACACCCGTTTACAAATTTAGAACTATGGTAGCAGTTTGCTTTACGTTCTCCCTGGATGCATTCTTTGTGACAATGATTCTTGGAGCTCTTAACGAAATGAAAGTCCGCCAGATGGCACCGGGACAAGTGCACTTAATATTTAAGGGGGCCCTGATTGTCTTCTGCTTTCGATTGCTTGTATGTCTGATTACTACAATACTATACTTAACTGTAGTCTTCTATTTGATTGCTGGAGTGAAGGATAGCTATTGGCGAAAGGGAGGCACGTTTATAAACTGTGTAAGTACTTTTCTTTTCCTGCCATTTTACAAGAAAGGAACTGAACTTGTGTGGACAAAAATATTTCGTGATGACAAGTTTATTATAGGAAAAATTAGAGGCCCTGAGAGACAAGACAGTGGTTTAGATAGCGGAATCTAGGCTGTTTGAAAATTATCAATGACTTTCTCTTCAGCAGTCCGAAGAAGTAATGGGTTCTGTAGCTCTACCTTTAGCAATAATACTGTCATAACATTTGATTACTAAGCAAACCACTTACATATCTGTAAGCTACTGCAAGTGGGGAGTTCATGTCTTAAAATACCAACAACTTGGCTAGTAGATAGACAGTGCATCGCTAACTTTCCATAAACAAATTGCGATAAATCAAGTCGAAACTACTCGGCGGCAATAGAAACTGCCAAAGGATAACAATTAAAACTGTCATAAATCATTAACCGAGAGCAATCGATGATTGCATGTATCTATGGATATTAGTATAGTGTGATATAATTACTTTCAAAAGTATTAGAAAACCAAGCGGAAAGAGTTATATTTCTTGTTATGAGTGATCAATCTCCCAATCTAAAAGTGTTTCAACTCCAAAAATATCCGCTCAGTACTCTAAAATGAGCGTTTTCTACCATGATTTCCAAGTTCGATTCTTTTTGCCTGCGCCTTTGACGTAAAAACAGGAAGCGGCCGCTCAAGAGTCTTGGGTCTAAGGTCAATTTTTTCTCTATTGAGAGTGGTGATAAATTATTTGGATAAACTGCTTAATTTGGCAATAGATTAGATTAGGCCATCCCCACTCCTGCTGGGAGCATAGGGCGTCGACCATGGACCATCAACGGACCCTGTTTTTGGCTGTTCCTTTTGCCTCTAGTCAGGTGTTGTTTATGTTTCAAATATTTTTTTAATAGTTGAAGAGAGTTCCGAAAAAAGTAGTTTCCTCTCACGCAACGTATCCACCGCGTACTGTAAAGTAAGTGTAAATAAAATGCTTAACAATTTGTTTATTTTTTTGTTTGTGTTACTTGTTCGTATCCATTCCTCTCGATGGGGAGGGAGGGGAGGGGAGAGGAGCATATTAGATTGATTATCGTTGGGGGAAGTTGTGGTGACAGTCTTCTACTCAGTCGGCCTTTCTTGTACCGTCATCTCTAATTACGAGTAGCACCATTTTAATGAATACCTGTTGACAACAGAATATTTAGGTTCTCACCCAGAAGGCGGGGGGGGGAAGGGGAGAGGAGCACATTACATGGATTATCCGCCGACGGGGACAGTTGTTGGGACAGTTGTTGGTACAGTTATCTACTCAGTCAACCTTTCCCGTTCAGTCATTTCTAATAACGAACAATTACGTTTTAATAAATACCTGTTAGTGAATTGTCTACTTTAGCATGAAAAACACGTATAACTTGACGATCTGATCCTTTTTTGTAGTTCCTAAAGTTAAAAGTTATTTCTTGCTTAGTCTTCCCTTGAGTGCATATTTCATCGTAGTTGATATTTGTTGGTTGCGAACAAAGTAGTTTTCATTGTTCAAAACATGACTGTGATCATTTTTCTCTCGAATTTTTTGTTAGTTTTGTTTATCTCATTAGTTTTAAGCTCTCAGGAAAACCGAGTTTTCTTCCGCTATCGCTTTACGGGTCGCATACTTATAAGATGAGTTCACTGAACATATTTAATAGTCCATTTTACAGTTGCGTGCTTGGTTGCCAAGCCTTTGAACAGGAGTGAGGCTAAGGGTGAGCTTGTTATGATACAAACCTTGCTGCCTTTCAAATGTAAATCACAGTTTGTTATCATGCCAACTAGATACTGGTCTCTATCACAGCAAGGTCACCTTCAGCCTCACTCCAAATCAAAAGCTTGGCAACTAAGCCCATAACTGTAAAATGGCCCACTGTCGGAGCCAGGTTAGGAGCTCGCTGAAAGGTTATAAGCGCAAGTTATACGTCTGCGGACTTTCAGTTAGGCACCAGTCTCCCACGAGAGACAAACCCGCAGATGTAAGAGGTTAATTCGTCAAATCGTCAACGCTGTTGATCGTTAATCGCTTTTTCTTATTAGTTAGCTACTTTCTTTTGTGCTTGCTGAAGTGAAAGTGTTTATTATAAACATTACCTACTTTTGGACCCGCTGCTCTCATTTTCCACCGAGAGAGCCGAGAGAACTAACTAGGTGACTAGTATGATCCAAATGCAACCGGGGATTGCGCCATCTGCTGTTTTTACAGAATTAACCCCTTAAAACATGCAGCTGCCTTTGATTTTATGTAAACACTCGATTGCAGCTGTTACCGCGAGGAACTGCAGACTGAAAAAAACAAAATAAGAAATAAAAAAAAAATCAGACTTGACACACAAAACTAAAAGTGAACCCTGTTCAGCGAAAGGCACAGGCTAGTTACTGCTTTATATCAGCTTAAGCGAGCGAATGTTTTGGCATTTCTCTTTTTTATCTATTGCAGGTGCGTGACAAAGAAAAATAATGTAATCTTTTATCTATTACATTTGCGTGACCAAGAATAAATAATGCAATCAAGAGAGAGTTTACCTTTTCTGCCTGTTCTATGCTTATCCAACATCTCTGGGAAAAAAGAAATTGAACTTTCAAGTTCCGCTTAAGTTTCCTCAAAACAATGTGGCAGGGGTACCTTTACTTTATATTTAGTTGATGATCCAAAGTACTATATTTGCTCGAATTATTTTGCGGGAAGTCCCGGATTGGATTTACTTTCGCTTTGATTTTCTAAAGCTCAGGACGAGCAAAGGCGACTTGGTAAGTGGTTTTCTTTAAAGTGCTTCTTGGTTCTAAATCTTTAAATTCCCTGCTCTAAAGGTTTTAATTTACACACGCTCTAAATGGTAAAGTGCGGTTATATTAATTATTCAGATTACGAATGCCTTAATCGAGCCCCAGTTCAACCAAACTGCAACCGATATCTCCGATTGGTACGGCTCTATTTCGTTCTTGCGATAGTCTCACGAATAAGAGTAATTTACGGGAAAATCAATACGAAACAGTAGTTTTGTTTCATTTTCTTGACGTGGCTTAGCGCCGTAATAAAGGGTTAAACCAAGAACGGAAACGAAGGGAAGTGAAGTTTCGTGACATGAGCATGTCCAAAGGCAAAGTAAACAGCTCAGTTTATCTCCAGGCCAAGAGACAGAATATATCTATGGAGGTCTGACGAGGAATTCAGTTGTGTTGAAAACCTCAAAAGTACCGTAATATTATCTCAGAATGAAACCCTCGGTGTATTTGGACGGTAGAACCGTGTCTCGAGGTTAAGATTGGAGTGATGTCGAGCTAATATCGTTGAGGAAAGGGATAAACAAAATGTAAAATCGGTAAATTAATAACCAAATTTTGAATTTAGTATTATCATTTCATTTAGCCCTTGATTTCTTTGTTAATTTTTTCGTGTCATAGAACCTTCCGAACATATTGACAAAGCCGATTTGGGTTTATTTTTGCTGCTCAGCGATTAGATTTGGGTAAGTGCCAAGTGACATTTCCGTGTCGTACTAAAGTTGTGACGATAGGTTTTCGCCCCCAAACTAGAAAAACTGAACCTGAACCTTTGTGGACGGCACAACAGTAACGGGGTGGGGGGACTAGCTTTGTAGAGCGACTCGGCAGCCCAAGAACGGAAACTCGTCACGATTTCCTGGTACACGGAGATCTACTTTGAGCGAGCGTACACGGACGTCAATGATGAGACAGCGTTTGGTTCCACAATAAACTATGATTTAGGTCAGGCCAACAAGCGACATGACCTCTAGCGTACTCAAGTTTGTAATCATCGAGACTGTAGAGGGTAGACGCTTATCAACTAACTGTTCTGAAGCGCTATTGTTATCCAAATCGACCATATTTGAATAGCATAGCGAAAGAAGCGGTGAAGATCTCTTTGAAGTTAAATGAAATTAACATCTGTTTCTACGACGAAAAGAAATTCAAATTAAAAGGACGAATGCAATAAACTCGATGCTATTAAAAATAGGAACTTAGGTGAGAATTCACAGCTCTAGTATAGAAAATATACCTATCTTAATTGCAGTAGCGCAGCTCAGAAAATAAGGGTGTAAAAGTAATTTAAAGTTTCTGCTTATCTGTGCAAGGTTGGTGTGGAAACTATTGAATGAAAAGAATTAAAAATTATGAGTTTAAACTCAGCTACCAACTACCATGGGAACTAATTTTGCCAGAAAGACCATTAACACTTATATTTACCTGGAATTTCATTAGAATTTAACAAGAAAAGTACCGAGATGTAGCTGCACAATTTAACTCGACCGTTCAAAATTTACTTGTGGCTCTTTATCTTTTTAACACATCGCAATAAAAGAAACTCGCATGAACTATGAACGCTAAAATTCCGAAAACAACGAATAAATATGCTTAAACATCCACAGGGAAAATCACTAAATTTTCCGGTGACAAAATTGACATATTTTGGCCAAGGCGTATCTCGGTTAATTGGTATTCGAGTTTTGTCTGTCTATCATGGTGGATATTGGATATATCTATCATTGGTGCATATTGGATATGCAGCGTTTGAGATTAACATGCCGCATTTCAGTCAGGGTTGTCTGTAGTTTTTAGTCTTTAAAAATTTTCCAATTAATGTATCCATCCTCATCTAGATTCCCAAGAAACATGGATGGGACAGATGATATGATCTCTGAATCCATGATGTTACCTCAGATTGAACCAAACCGGAAACGAAAGTGCCCGTGCTCCAAGTCCACCTTTGGCTGGATGACTTCCATAATTATGTATTTACTCCTTTTACTGGCTGAAGTAGTGGTTACTTTCGCTTTCATTTATTATTTTGGAAAAAAAATATCGCCCGTTTTCACATCGGCAAGCTTAACAGCCGCAAATGTATCATCAAGCACCAAAAATCCCTCTCACATATTTGAAATACAGCTTGTGCTCTACTTAGGTGGAACAAAGACTTACTCCACATTGATAATGGCCCTAAATTGTTTAGACACAGTGAACTGTTGGATCTTTCTCGGAGCAGTTTTCAAATCTCCGCATTTCACCGGCTTGTGCCCTCTGATAAAAAATCTTATTCGTTTGCCAAGATTCTGGACCTTAATATTTATATTTGTGCTCTATGTTACAGGAAATGTTATTGAGAGCGCAAGTTCCTCACTTGTCGCATCCGTTTACAAATTTAGAGCTATGATAGCGGTTGACTTTACGTTCTCCCTGAATGCATTCTTTGTGACAATGACTCTTGGAGCTCTGAACGTAACGAAAGTCCGCCATATGGCACCTAGGCAAGTGCACTTAATATTTAAGGGGGCCCTGATTGTCTTCTGCTTTCGATTGCTTGTATATTTGATTATTACAATAATATACCTAACTGTAATCTTATATTTGATCGCTGGAGTGAAGGATAGCTATTGGCGGAAGGGAGGCACGTTTATAAACTGTATTAGTAGTTTTCTTTTTTTGCCGTTTTACAAAAAAGGAACTGAACTTGCGTGGACAAAAATTCTTCGTGATGACAAGAACATTATAGGGAAAATTAGAGGCCCTGAGAGACAAGACATTGTTTTAGACAGTGGCATCTAGGCTGAAAATCATCAATAGCTTTCTCTTCAGCAGTCCGAAGAAGCAATGGGTTCTGTAGCTCTACCTTTTAGCAATAATACTGTAATAGCATTTGATTACTGGGGAAACCAATATGAAAGTGACATGTTGCTACATATCATTGCCGTTAGCTTCAGTCTGTAAGTTAGAGTTCTTACCGTAAAATACCAACAACTTGCCCAGCCGATAAACAATACGTCGCTTATTTTCCACTTGACTGCAGAGGATAACGATTTAAACTTTAAGACATCATGAATCGAGAGCAACCGATGACGGTCCTCTTTTCAAATGTAGCTGGCCATAAATCATCTTATTCTGGAAATCAAAGACAACGAACCTGCAGTCTTTCAGCACAAGGGGCAACATCGAAATACCTCTTTACGGTGCACTGCAGATCAGATAAAATTAGACCGAGGCCACTGAAGATCAAATTAATTATCAGAAACTTTTCCAACCGTTGAATACGAGCGCTCGCAGTACTGGAAGCAGTAATTTGAGCACGAGTGGTAGTTATAATAGAAGCAGTAGTAATAAAAGTAAGGCCATTTATTCCACTTGTATGTATCTTTCGGTATTTAGTGTGATATAATTACTTTTAAAAATAGTAGAAAACCAAGCTGATGGAGTGACAGTTCTTGTTATAAGTGCTCAGTCTCCCAATCATTTTAAATTCTGAGATCTAAATAGGAGTGATGAATCAATGTTTGTGAATAAACAAAAATCATGTTTGTGAAGTGTGGTTAGAGAAATGATTATGAGAGTGTTCATCGTAGTAATCACGTCAAGGGCTTATTACGAAGTAACATGATGACCAGCTCCCAGTTGGCTTAACTTGCAACTTGTTAGCTCAGTTAATAGAGCACTACACCGGTATCGCAGGGGTCATGACTTTAAATCCCGTACAAGCCTGAATTTTTTTCAGACCTTATTTTTACCACTGCTTAAATGTAGTGTTCATTACTGCAAAGATCGCTCTCATATTCAATTCTCTCACAGCAGTTCAAATAAATGATTTTTTTCAGAAATCCACAAATATTGAATTTGAGATCTGTTCATGTTGTAAGACGACAGTTAAGCCTTGTTATCGAGATGTAGTCAGTCGTAAAAGCCGAAATGTTGATGGCCAAGCTAAAACATTTCGCATTTTAAGTCGCAATGTCTCCTTGACACCGGTATCGCAGAGGTCATGGGTTCAAATCCCGTACGGGCGTGAATTTTTTTCAGGCCTTATTTCCACTACTATATAAGCAGGGTTTATTACTGCGAGGATTGCTTTCTTACGTACATTTCAGAGAAAGCCGCTGTACACATGCACGTTTTCCATATATTCAAATTCATTAGTTCTGACTATCTTTTTCATACGACTGCTTGTAAATTTGATAATTACATATTAATTTCATCTGGCTGTAATTTTCTACTCATAAGCTAAAGCAAAGAAATATTTGCTAAAATATAGTGCTGTTCTAATGTAAGCATGCTTTTATACCTACAACCCCGGACAAAACTGTTGAGACATTTCAATGCAATTTTTAATTTCCCGCCATGCAACAATCGTTTCCAAAAGGAACAAACTTGCCCCCCTCCCCACCCCTGGTACAATGTTGTTGGGGCTTAACAGCTCAAGCATGCCTTTCTTGTGTTACCGAGAACAACGGTGCAGTAAGGGAGGGGGGAAACAATCTTTGAATTTGCGACGGTAAGCATTTTTGTCAGGGTGAGTGCAAAAAATAGGTATTTTTGTAATGTGTCTCAACAGGTTTTGTCCGAGGTTGTACCAATCTACAAGAAAGCAACTGAACTTATTATAACAAAGATTATCCTTAAACATAACTGTATCATTGGCAAGTTTAAGAGTAACAGGAGACAGAATATTGATCCAAAAAGTGTCATAAACATTGGTTATTTTAGTATAATGGTTTCTTAATTGCGGATATTTTTTAATTAAGCAACCCAGAACACAACTTGATCGTCGATTGTCGTCGCTCGTTAAGAGCGAATAGAAGAGCGTGAAAAAAATAGAGGATGGGATAGGAGATTAGAAGGCAATATCTCTTCGAAATTGATAAAACAAATTATTACTTCCATGTGCTAATACCTGCTGTGCAAACTTGTTACAAGATTGGCTTTCCTTATTTATAAAGATTGAGAAATGAGTACCTTGACAGGCGAAAAAAAGGGAAAACGCCTCCGTTCAGACAGTACCTGACGGATCGAGGTCTCCCAATATCTTTTATTCGGATTTTGAAGATTATTTTTCATTTGACTCGTATGTTTTTGTAAGAATCTTTTGGTGAATTGTTCGCTGCCAAAGCGGTAAAGCAATGACAACTAGGTTAAAAAGTAACCATGGTCTTTTCAAGTTAAGCAGTTAAAGAAACAAAAAGTAAAAATGCTGTGGAAAAATTGCAGAGTGGAAAGGTTTTCCGCGAAGCTCAGAAAAAGGGATTGAAACATTCAAATAGTAATCAATGGCAGCAGAATTACAAAGCATGTTCTTTGAAAAAGAGTGCAAAGCTTACTCCTTCCTCCTTTTTTTTTAAACCGAAGATACACACTGATGTATTCAAAATAAAGGTTATATCTTATTCTCTTGTCATTTCCCATGCAAGGGACGGATCCAGGATTTGAATAGGTCACAAGAAATGTCTTCTCCACGCTCTATCGCACTTGTAAATGATTGGTGCATCTCACTTTCTAAAGTGTTCAATTATTTAGAAGTGCTCTATGGTACATTGCGTAGATTAAACGAGAGTCGTCATTTGGGGTCAAGTGGACTTTCTCACAAGCAGAAGATCAACAAACTAGTAGCTACATACATAGCGTGAATGATTTCGTTCTATCTTCTTCAAAAACTTAATTTTTAATATGTTGCTTATAGTTATGAGGTGGTTTAAGTTTTATAGAAGGTAGTTATTTTTGAAAAGAGCAATAGAAATTGTTTAACAGGTTGAAGGTTCTTGTCTAAAAAGACTCATTTCTACCCCACATCCATGATCAATCTCGGATACTAACGATATTTTTAGTTCTGGTTATTGCGAAAAGAAGTTTGAAAAGCTCAGCAGTGGCTTACATGTGTATTTATAAGAAAAGAAAGAGACTGACTTAGCGTGTCCTTTAACTGTTTTTTAATCAATTATTAAGTACGAATTTTCAGAAGTATATGCTGTAGTTCAATTTTATACTTGGTTCAAATTTTATTTTCCTTTGTTTTCGGTCATGTTAATGTATAATAATGAGTTTGAAACAAACGAAAATAAAATTTGAACCAAGGATAAAATTGGACTACAACATATATCCTTGCATTTCGTGTCCTTGTCTTTATCATAGTTGTTAATTATTTCCGCTTAACGGTCGTAAAACCAAGTTTGACGTGAAATTCGACGGCCAATCAGAAAAAAAACCCAGATAATTCCACAGCAAACAACTGAGAACTCAAATGAAAACCAATAATGATCTTATTGTCCATTGGGAGAACTAGATGCTCAAAAAGACAAATGAAGATAACATTGGAATCTATATATGTGGCTATCCACAACTAGCTCCTAACCATATGAAATATTACTGTAACATATAAAAATTGATAATGATTACAATTGTTATCCAAGATAACGAGATAAGGGACGAGACAGCTGTGATTAATAATTGTGAATCTTCCTGTCCCTTGACCTATGAGGAAACAGAAATGAGTGACAGCTTGTAACCAGCTGGAGTCAGTTTACTTTGACTATTCTAAACCTTGGCGGCTGCCTTTAAGAAACTACCACAAACTAATACATCGATGAAAACGTTGTTAAATGCAGAAGTCATTGAGTTCTTAGCTATTTCGACTTTTGCTTCTCTACGGCGAAGCCAGTAAACAATGAGAAATGATCGATCGCCATTTTGTCGAATTAAGCTGGTATCAAACGAGATCTTAGATGAAATGGCACAGTGTCAGTCACAAAAAAATTAATCTCAGTGTCAGCTTTTCCCCGCCTTCCTATCGTTTTCTTTCAATAGATCTGTCAAATTTGAGAGTTGAAAAATTCGCGTGCGTACTTTCGGAGGCCGCCACGAGCTAGAAAGTACTTGATTTCAAAAAGGACACTGCCCCTCTCTTGTTCTTTCTCATTCAGTCAACGTTTGAACCAAATTTCAGGGAATTCTATCACTGAGTTCTGCAAAACCTAGGGTCATCCTCGGTGTTAAAACCTGACGAGGTTTTCTTTGTTTCATGAGGTATTGTTTTGCTGTACCCTATTGTTTATAATGTTTTGTTGTCTTTGTTTTACGTCACTCGTGAGCCTCACAGATTTTTACACCGAGGATGAGTCAAAACCTATTAACTCATTAGAAGAGGAGACATTTAGGGATTTAAAACCATCTCCTTCCTTGTCAGAAGATAATGACAAGACCAGGCTCACGCTGTGAGCCGCCAGTCAATAATATCGTAGAACCCCTAATGTTCACACCGAGCGGGAAAGTAGTAGCTTCAAGGTCACTTTTTCCTTAGTAAAGGTCTAAGCAACACTTCACAAATGCGGATAGTTTGTCGCGACAAATTTTTTGGCCGAAGCGGACAAACTCTCAAACCCACCATCGACAAATACTTTTTGTTTTGTTTTTTTTTTTGGTGAGAAACTAATGAGCAGCAATGCACAAACTAAAATAATCACTTTTTCATTTCGATTGACAATAGCAGACTTCAACGCGAAGTTTTAAATGTTGGTTGAATAAGTTTGCATATTTACCAACTAAGATGTCTATTTTCGACCTATCCGCATGGTTTGAAGAAAGCAGAAATTATTGGCAAGGCGTGCTGTGGTGTTATGCATGATTGATGTCACTCAGACTTTACACGTACGGTTATGGGCAAACCACAAACCTATGTTTGACTCTAGACCCTCGGCACAATATTTTCCTTTGTAATCAGAGCATTTACAAAATTTTCGCTTAAGTCCATGGTCCTGGCGTTACTTGGTTTTAGTTTGGGACTTCTCCTTTTTTAATCACTTTTTTTATGACTAGAGATTGACTCATCTGCATTCCAAAACTGCTGCACTTAAAGGTTGACAAAGGCGGGTGTTTTACGAAAGGTAAGAGGATCTTACGGCGGATCCTAGCGAAGCTGATTACCAAACAGTTGGTGAGATTTTTTTACGAAAAACCTTTTCTCAATAACTCGCTTGCGTCTCAGGATTTCAAATTTATTTTTCGAGAAATCTGAGTTGAAGTAATTGACTTGAATTTGATCGAAAAAGTAGAAAATTTTCGGCCAAAGTTGACCTGCGAAGGTTTGGAGAAGCCTTTGGCTTGAAGTTAAGACAGTAGTCTGCATATGTGTAGGCCCTGCTCGATTTATCTATTTTTTTTTCTTTATCTTCTATTGTCAAAGCTTTTAATTTTAAAGGCTGATAGTTTCGAAAGAAACTGTTTGGGGCTGCGTCGGTGGGAGTAACGAAATAATTTGGATATATCCAAACTTTTAATTTTAATTTCTTGTTTGTGGTCTGATGAAAAGATAAAAACGTAGAGAACTCTACCAACTGTTCGAATGAGGCTTTAAACTGCTTAAAAAGGTAAAAGTAAAATTTAAAATCCAAGCTTTCGCCGATATCAACGGCATCATCAGGAATAAGGATATATTCCGGGCGCACTACATATATGCAAAGAGAGTGTGTGCTGAAATGTCCAAAGGATGTGACTATGTAAGAAAGCTTTAGAAATAAACTATGAATGGAGCATAAGGCTCGAATAATGGACCGCTTCTAAACAAAGGACCTCTAAGAGCGTTAAAGAATGGTGTAGAAAATGAGATACTAAAATAGAAGGTCTTGTACTTTCTGATGTAGAACGCTTCATATATCATATAGAAGGGTTATGTATCTTAAAGACGGAAACTGTAAGAGGATTGTTCAACGATTAACTTGACTCTGCCGCTTCCACTGCACATTTTTTTTCTTTTCTTTTCTCTGACGAAACTTATTTTCCTCGATGTATTATTATTATTTACACCATACAGCGAATGCGAATATACGTCCAATCTAAATTTCCATTGTTCTGGACTCACTAGCCTCCCACAGGTGTCATGATCGTTTTGTGTTTCCACGTGAAGACGAGTTTAGTGAGTCCACAACAATGGCAATTCAATTTGGACGCCATATTTGCATTCGGTGTATGTTAAGCCCACTGTTCATTTTCTCTAGGACAAATTAAAGTTTTCTTTTTCTCGACAAGAAATTCAGATTTCTTGAGATTTGGATAGGCCGTCTTTATTTCCCGCTTTGAAGATAAAAGTGCACGAAAACTCAATGTGGCCCAAATACTTCTTAATCCAATAAAACTGACCTCTCTGGATATCCCACTGGTCACTTCTTGAAATTCCTCCATAACAGTATCCTCATTACAGTCATTGGCTTGTTGTGCGCGTAACCCTATACTTATGTCAAAGTTTTCATGTCACGTTTCTCAAGAATTGAAGCCAACTCCTCTTAATACAGATGTACTATTGCTTCTACCAGTGAAGCTTTTAGTGTCCTTCTCTCATCGTGCCTAAAGGCTAAGACTCAAGCAAGCTGCTGAAAAAAGTGCGAAAAAGCAGTTACAGAAGCTCATATCCAAAGAATTTAGGAATACAGAATTTAAGAATATATAGAGAAATATCACGCGAAACGGATTCTCTGTAGCTAAATGGTAGAGCACTGGAATGCGGAATCCAAAGGTCTGGGGTTCGAATCCTCCCGAGGACTTGCCACCTCGTGACAAGAAGGAAAAAAGATTTTCCACAATTTCTTTACCAAGCTAAAAATTCTCCCTTGCCCTATCTAGAACTTTTCAGGTCAGTTTAGCAGGGCAAAATTTCTCTTCTGTTCAATTTATCCACAAGAAACTGTGTGCAAACCTTGATCAGAAAATAATAAGTGATTTAGCACTAGGAGATGACAGAAGAAACTTATTTGTAATAAGCAATCAAGTGGCGTATTATGTAGTTTTTGTTCTTAGTTCAAACTTTCAAAGTTTTAATTATAATCCTTTCATTAAGCATGCATCATTTCCCAAACTAATAAAAAATGTCATTTCAGTTATTATGGAAAAGCCTTTTCCATCCAAAGTTCACAACGCTTGTAAGGGATTCATGTGCTACATGTCCCGCATCTTGGATAGTCTTCATTACTGTAATAAGAAAAAGAAATAAATTAAGGAAATAGAGGTGTGTCATATCTGTTTAGTAGAAGCTAGGTTCGCATGAAATTACGGAAAGCTGACGCGTGTAGAGCTAATGATGCTTAAGAAATCAAACGGAGTTCTTAGAAGAGAGTAAACACAGATGAACAGCTGGAAAAATATTGCCTTGTGAGAACTGAGAAATTACCTGCGAATAGCACTCCTCGCGCTCTACTTCGTCAGCAAATTTTATACATGACCTCCCAAGTCTTAACCGCCTTTCTCTTTGGAGACAAGAAGAATTTCGCTCGGACAAGAAAAACGATTTAGAGTTTGTATTGATTTCTGATAAAGCCTCACAAAGACGATTTGCCATTCGTAAGTTATTGTTTATCGTCCATCGTCAATAACTTTGATGAATGTGAAATAACGAATGACCTGATCACTTAGCCATGTTGCTTCTGGCTTTCCTCGATCAAATACAACTTATCTTTATCAAATTAACCAGATGTGAGAATGCCAAGGAGAAACTTTTACCATAAAAAATAATGTGAAGAAAGGAAAAAAAAATAATGTAGAAGTTTGCCAAATTCCGGGTAAGCTATAGGGCATAAATTCTAAAATATTTATCTACGGTCAAAGCGAGAGGGAAATCGGGGGGAAGTTAACTTGGGAAGGGGGTACCAAGGAAGCCCTCGGTCTATTACAGTCAGCTTTATAGGAGTAACTTGTCAGGAAATAGAAAGAAAAAGAACCGATTCATGTTCTCGTTGAGGTAACATAACGTAACATAACATATTTGTCAAAAGAAAGGATTGGTAGGAGATCTTACAACCACGACACTTCAAAAGAAGTCTCCCGGCTGATAATTGAAAAAATGCCGTAAATTTCAAGTAGCCATCTCTGTATATTCATTCATGGCTCAAGATTTCAGATTTCAAATTTTCCTGCTTATATTTTTATATGCATCATTTCTCAAGGTAATTACAAATTACGTCTTCAATTTTATTATTTCAAGTGGCTACCCGTATTTTCATTCCATAAGTTTTGTGATCCTTAAATTATAGGTGTATGTCGTAGGTCTTAAAGGAAACGTGGCAGTACTCGCCTTTTAAACTAAACAAGCGAACTAACAAGAAAATAGAGGACAGCACTGGTGAAGATTTTCTCCTAATCATCTGGACATCAAGAAAGAGTGGGTGAATTACCAATTAGTTTGAACCTCGTGTTGCCTCCTATCTCATTTCTGCCAAGCATTAATTATTGGGCCTCTTTTGCATGGTCAAAGATAAGATCAATAGACCAGTAAGAGCGAATGTTTGAATTGACCGATTGAAAATCGAAAAATTTGGTACATGATCGAAAAATCGAAAACCTTCATATTTTTCCCAGCGATACCTTATAGTGAACTTAGAAACGTGGTAAGGTTATTTTTTCCCAGACTTGCTTCTTTGTCCTAAAAAATGCACGAAAACTGAAACAAGCGATGGTAGCCGCAGAATGGCAGAAATCAGTGCCTTGAGTAGAAGCAAATGAACTTTGCTCGTGAAAACCACAAAAAAGCAAGCTCGTATGGATTTGACCAATTTATTTATGAGGGATTGATGTATGGCTTAAGTATAAAACGGGACCATTTCATTTAATTTTGACATCACGGAACGCTTTTAAAAATTGCAAAATTTTCAAAATCCAAAATATTCCATATCGCAGCAAATCTTCAATTATCGTTTTCCACATGCGGTGTAACTCAGAATCGGTTCAGGTTAAGCTCATGATAAGTGGAAATGGTGTTGTTTTCGAGGATATGAGAATTAGTTTAGGGCTCTTCATTTCCGTACGGAAAAATCAGCCAAAACTTTGTGAAAATGGCAACACCGTCATTTACATCACCACGTAATCTAATTATATTTAGGCAGCCGGTGGTTATATCCGCAATTCTAAGCACACTTTAGAAGTTAGCACCGTGTTCGATCAGGATATCAATACAGTGAGCTAGCCTTGCGTAGCTAACAACAGCCGATTGGTTTTTACCTCTGCTCTCGTTTCAAGTTCCCATCTATTTTCCATGGCGAAATTGTTTACAATAACAGATTCCGTCAGCTTGCAGAGGGCGTCTGTTTTTCTTTGCGTATTCAAACAGCTATAAGTCTTGAGAAAGTTCTAGGGTAAACTTCAGCTTAATTGTGTACTTGAAAGAGGACAATTCAATCATTCATAACGGCAGGTCAAATGTTTTTGCCCAAGACGTCGAAGACGGGAAGCAATTCGTGTGTAGATGTGACACGCTCAAGCATTTGTCACGCAGGGCTGAAATTATTTTAATCTTGTTCCCATCTTGTAATTTTACGGCCACGAATATCCATGAACAGCATTTTTAACAAATTTTTTATATGATAACTTTTCTTATTAGTTAGTCATTGCTGTGAAACTTGTCAACTTCGCAGCGGGGAATACCAAGAAGAGCCAATAGGCTGAACACGAAACAACAAATAGCTAATAGCAAAAATATTAGGGAAAGGATCAAAGTCCGAGCAAAGGCGAAACAGTGGCAAAGTACAAAATGATTGAAATAGAAGAAGAATAACAACTACGGAGCTGGAAACAGAATGAAATAGATAGGGTGAACTAGATCTCTGGATGAGTAAATTTCAAGTAGCCACCTGCGTATATTTGTTCATGGCTAAAGCTTTCAAAGTTAAACTTTTCTTGTTTCATATGCATCATTTCTCAAAGTAATCACAAATTATGTCTTCAATTTTATTATTTCAAGTGGCTATTCGTATTTTCATGTCGTAAGTTTTATGAATCTTAAATCATAGGTGTATGTCGTAAGTCTTAAAAGAAACGTGGCTGCTGCAACATAACTGCTGCGAAACTTGTTGACTTCGCAGCGGGGGAATACCTAGAAGAGCCAATATGCTGAACAGGAAACAATAAATAGCTATAGAAAAAATATTAGGGAAAGGATCAAAAGTCCGAGCAAAGGCGAAATAGAGGCAAAGTACAAAATGATTGAAATAGTGAAGAATACCAATTATTGAGATGGAAATCGAAACAGAATGAAATTGATAGGGTGAAATAGACCCGAGGATAAATGTAAGATAAACGATGTGCCATTTGAAATCACTACAACAAGCAAAGAATCTCAGCTGAGTTAATAACATTATTCCCAAATTGAGAGTTTTAGTTACAAAACTCACGGAAATTGGTAGGGCTGGAAACTGTTCGCAGATTAAAACAACTAACTCGAGAAAAAGGTAATTCTTTTGATACCTCAGTCGATACTATTTCAGCCAATGTCGTGCCTTAAATTCATTTTCGTTGATAAAAGTTATCATTTCGAGGAAGATTTCCAAAATGTTGCAAAGCGCCGAACTAGTCAAATTTCCAAAATGGCGCGGCTCGTTGTTCCGGATTGTCTTAAAATTTGTGGTTTGCTTACAGAGACTTCATGTGTCAGCCTTATTAATTACAGAGGCTGTGCAAAAGAGGACAAATGAGCAGTTTCCACAAAGAATAACTTTCTACTAACCAAGTACGAGGGCCGTACTGAGGATAATTGGCCCAAAATCGGGGCAGTACGGAACGGGCAGCGAACTCCGTACAATAATGACCGATGGCCAATATTTCCCAACACAGTTCAAGCAAGCGATGTTACTAAGTATTTTGGCCATTTTATACGGCTAATGCTAATTTTTTTACTGTTACATTATTTTTAGGATTCACGGCTAAAATTTGTCAATTTTACGCCTAACGGCTAGTTTTTGCCGTTTTCCGGTTAACAGTTAGCCCCACTGAGAACCACTAAGATCTAACACCTGGGCGGGGCATTTGAACATGATTTTGGCCAAGGGAGCTGGAACGAATCTTCAAAAGTTAGAATTCTTGAGAGCAGACGATGTTGAAGCTTTGAATTAATCGACGCATCATTTTTTCTTCCGGCATAATACTTTCAGTATCCCTCCACCTACCGATGTCGTCTGTTTGATAATCACCGACAAAAATCGTGACACAGTCTCTTCTTTCCCTCACGGCTAGTCCAGTGATTTTCCGTTTTGTCTCTTTCATAAGAAATGATTTACAATAATATTTCATATGGTTGGGAGCTGGTTGTGGATAGCCACATGTCTAGGTTCCAATGTTATCTGCATTTGTCTTTTTGATCATCTAGGTCTGCCAATTGCAATGGATAATAAGATCATTATTGGACACATCCTCAGCCTCGTTATCCAGTTGTTGTTGTCTGGTGTCTGGGTCGGGGCTTACAGGAGCTATGGGTAGGTGATTACATGGTGCGTCGCCCTCGATGAAAATACTTTAACATATATAAGTGTTTATTTCATCTTCAGCTGCATGGAAGGTAAATGTGCCATGGAGGATTGCCGAAGCTCAAGCGGATCTGGAAGATCTAATTACTGTTGGATAGCAGCCGACTCAGCAGGAAATTACATGCGATGTGGTCGGAAGGAGGATTGTCGAGAGGCAGCTAGATCTTGGGGTAATTGCAAAGCTTTCTCTTGTTTTGCTAATCGCGCTCCCAGCCCCACGAGAAGCTATGGTAAAACGTGTGAGTCAATCAGATCTCGAAAACTTGCTGAACTGAAGAGAGAGTGCAATAGTCAAGGTTATAGTTTTGAATCTTGGGCGAGAAGGTACAACACGGTTCGGAAATTAAAATCAAAGTTCGAGCCTTGCGTTGGCGACATCATAGAAGAGGAGGCCAAAAAGGTCATCAAGTACTGTCACTGCTATAACAAATGTGGAAACGATCAGACAGAGAAGGAAACCTGCACAGTCCAGGGATTGGATAGGAGGTTGGATCTTGAAATGGATGTGAATGACCCTTTCAAAGCAGTGTAAGTTTTGCAGTTTTCGTCGCTAAATTTATTTAACCTTTTTTATTGATTATTTATCAATTGATTTTCAGGTAAAAATTAAACTGCGCACCCACCCCTCCCCTCAACCCAACAACAGTCGACTGCTAACAAGTTAGGGTTAGTGTTGGGTTAGGGATGGGTTAAATGACCAGTTTTAGAAACTGATATGGATCCAACGGTCGGTCAGTTTATTTAATTATCACCTGTTTGGACCATTTTTATTTATCTTTACGGCATAGAACGAAGTACCTAAATATAAAAATCACCTTTGTAGATTCGGGTTATGCTTTTGACCAAGACAAGGAGTTCTTCATGTGGCTAAGATTTAGCTCCAAATGATTAGTTCAATTAAATAACTCATTACACATCCATCTTTCCATCCTTTCACCTATCAACCCCTTCAGTTACTGATTTAATTATCTTTTTATTTATTTGCATCTAAATTACTAGAATATATAGAAACATTTATACAAATTTTTACAACTTTACTCTAAATTATCTTTTTCGTTGTGATAAAGATGCGCCATCGATTGCGATCCGGAAGAAAAGGTATAAAAAAGAAGATTTGTTTTTGTTGTTTTTGTCTTTTTTTTTTTCTTTTTTGCTGAACTGTTTATTTCCCTTTTGTTCTCAACCGTTCACCTGTCTTTGTGTTGGAGTGCCTAGCTACTCTATGAGTTTGTTCCCAATCATTTCCTGAAAGAGATTCACGCGAGCTAAGACGAGAGAAGGAGGCCTCTCCTATTTCTCTTCATCTTCCGACTTTTTTT